CTGTTGAATTTCTTGACCGTGGTGAACAATCCGGCGAAAGGTGATCGGCGTGAGTATGAAGTCAAGAGTGGGCCGGAGGGGCAGATTCAACTTCAGCCCCTGTTCCACAAAGACACCACAGGAACAGACACTCTCTCTGATCTCTTTCTTGACTACAGCGTGCCCGGTCGAATCATTTGGTACAGCTACACAACTGGCAAGCACAAGACCTGGCAATACATGCTGCAGGCACGTCGGTGCCGGCTGAAACCGCCCTGAACTGCACTGTGGTAGTCGTGCTGAGTAGCCTCGCTGCTTGGTGATGGTGCAGTGATGGATCGTGTTGTGTGTGTGTGTGTGTCGGTTGTTCTCATGTTTGCTGTCCTTTTGTTTTGGGTTTCCTGTCCAGGTGTGGAATACCACCGTGGTGCAGCTGACGCCCGAAGCCGAAGACGCTGCTTTTCGGCTGGTCATGCGGAAGCTCACAGGCCAGGGGCACCGTCCCCTTACTGCCCAGTATAGTGCACCGAGCACTGGCCTCCCCTATGATACCATGACTGTTCTGCCAAACCCTTCCTGCCCAACCCCAACTCCTGACATGAAAGCTGAAGCCGATAGGCCCCTTGTGAACACCACGAATCATCTTCACATCATCCACCCACACATGCCGCAGCCATACCTTGCAGACTCGCACCCTGTAGGCTCTAAGTTTTAAAGCCGTTTCTTGCTGCTTGCTCCGAACGCCTGACAGGTGATTTGATTGCCAAGGTAACCGTGGAGCCTGGCACCAACTGGAGGGATGCAAGGAAGTTGATGGTGCCGGGCCTCCGCCCGCTCCTCTCGAAAAAGCTGGCTTTTGTGTCACCCCTTGGGGAAGTCTTGACGCAGGCACATGATCAAAGGCCGCTATCTGACATTCTCGGATGTGAGGTTGCTGAGCCCAGCGAGCCGCGGGTAGTTGAGGAATGGAGGCGTTTTCAGTAGCGCAGACCGAGCTCTTGTTCGCGTCCTTGCTTTTGAATTGTAAAGTTTAGGGCATGTGGTTTGTGCTGCTTATGCAGTTTGAATGCCGCTTGCCATCGGTTTCGTGCTCTTGCAAAGGAGCTCTGCGGTTCAGTAGTTCGGTAGCGTTCCAAAGAGTGCCACTGCGGGGATCCAGCATCGAGGGGATTGCATAAAGCACCGCGCGTGCTCGCGTTTTTTTGGGGGCGGAATTCGCACTCTGGCCTTGGCGAAATTCGCTCTTTGGCCGTTAGTTCGGCATCGCGGGCGGTACCAAATCACGCTCGCGCCAAGGCAGGCGCTCCTCGACATCGTGCGCCCGCGTCGCTCACGTGCACTTTTGGAGGCCCGTCCCGCGAAAATGGGTGGGGGGGGGGGGGGGGCATGATTTTCATGCGTCTGGGGCGGGTGGCAGGGTTCCAGTCTGGGGGGAAAATATTGCACACGAGCAGGACTGTCTCTAGCTTCTGTGTGGGGTCGTATAGGTGCAAGATGCTCTTCTCTTCGCGAAGCCGTTTCCTTTAGGGGTGTAGGTGCGCACAGGCATCGATATGCAGCAGGAGTCGGCGTAGATCCGCAAGCATGTAATCGACATCGTCTGGTTTTCGGGGCATTGAAGCACCAGATTGCGCTAAGTTCAGGATTCAAGTGGGGGAACCTTGGGGGGGGAGGTAGTATACAGGGGGGGCAATAGGGAAGCCCATGAAACAATCGGAGCAAAATTCCAACAACGCGCTTACGCCTCGGTCCTGCTGCGCGTTGTTCATCGCCAAGTGCAGGAACTGTCGTGGTTTTGTAAGCCCGGTAAACCCTGTAAACCCTGTAAGCTCTGCACGCCCTGGAAACCCTATAAACCCTAAGCCCGAAGACTTAAACTTTTGGAGTGACCTTGGAGTGAGTGGTCCTGAGCACTCTTGGTGTGGGAGTGTTTTTCGGGGTCATCTTAGAGTGGCCTCTTGGTCTTACACTGTTTGGGGTCAAGTGTAGGGTTTAGGGTTTGGGGTTTAGGGTTTAGGGTTTGGGGTTTGGGGTTTAGGGTTTAGGGTTTGGGTTTAGGGTTCAGGGTTCAGGCTTCAGGGTTTATAAGGTTTTGTAGGGTGGTTGCTCGAAGCTCCTTTCGACGCGGCAAGCGCACGACACCAGCGCGGCGGCATTCGGGTCCTTTGCGACGTGTTTCACCGGAGCTCCTTTTGCGCAGGAAACGCGCAGCGCTAACTTCAGCATGCCAGCAGTTGCCAGCAGACTGAATACCAACTGCAGAAGTCATCGCTCGACCGTTTTTGTAACGTCATGCGTCTTCATTTGCTTAGAATTCCGACATCTAGTTGACGGTGAGCTCCGGCCAGATGCTGTCAGGCACGAGCTTGCCATGAGCAGGCGGCTTCTATGAACCAGAACTTGCGAATCATCGCCAAAAGCCATTCGCACTCGACACGCGGAGCACGTTCCGCGTTTTTTTTGTCGGCCCGCCGTCTCTGCGCGACAGGAACGCTGTGGTCAGGATTGATCCACCCTCCGTTGCGCCAAGCGGCAGGGCCGGGCTTGGACAGACCCCGGGGCGCCACTTAAGCTACAAGGCCCCATGACAGATCTAGCACCCAAAGAGAACCAAACACCTCAAAGCCTCGAATCCCTATTGTTCTGAACCCTAAAACCCGAAACCCTAAGCCCATTTTTCGTCATATCCGGGCTCCTGAGCCTGAAACCTCGCCCGCGGGTTGGCTGGAGTGCGCAATGGGAGTGCCATGGTTGGCTTCAGACACAGCATGATGTGGGCGGGCAAACGCCTACGGAGGGATGCCGTTGTTTTTCTCTGGCAGCTCAAAGCCCTAGGATCATGAGAGTGATAGCAGAACATGTTCCAACGGTGTGTTTGGGTGATCTCACGTGTTCAAGTTGCAGCCCTCCACTGTGAGAGACCACCCACATGAATCATACACAAACTTTTAAATTGGCAGCCAATGGACACGTCCACCTTTTCAGCTTCTTCCGGATGCAAGCTCTTCCCAGCAACACTCTGAACCCGAAGCCCTACATCTGATTCATTGTCCCGGGCCCTAACCTGCAGTACCTCATTGTTGTTCAGGTGTTCAGTGATCATTGTGGCGATGGCTTTTCGTTGGCTGCAGACAGGTCCTTTCTTTGAGTTTCTGCACTGGTACACTGTACATTGATGTGACATCTCCAGACAAGTCCGCATGACAGCCACAAGCTGCCTTGGACGAAAATGCATCCGTTCGTCCATGCGTTTGCCACAGCCGGCGCTTTTTTTCTCAAGAGAACTTGCACCTTAGGCCCAAATACCCTAAACCCATAACCCCCAACCCCCCAACCCTTAGACCCCAAACATCGCAACCCGAATTTGAAATCCCCTTCAAACTCTCCAAAAATGTGTCACCCGCCCCCACCCCCCGCCCCCCCAACCCCCCCCCCCCCCCCCCCCCCCCCCCCCCCCCCCCCCCCCTCCCCCCCCCTCCCCCCCCCCCCCCCCCCCCCCCCCCCCCCCCCCCCCCCCCCCCCCCCCCCCCCCCCCCCCCCCCCCCCCCCCCGGCGCACACCCCCCATAGCCTTGGACCTTTTCTGCGCGCTCGCTCCAAAGGAATTACCCTCTGTTGCCTCTTCAGATGTGCGCCCCGCACCCAGAGACTTGCAGCTTCGGACGGTCCAGCCCGTATGCCTTTGGGGTTTAAGGTTTAAGATTTAGGGTTTAGGGTTTGGGGTTTGGGGTTTGGGGATTAAAGTAAGTTTAACGTTTAGGGTTTAGGGTTTAGGGCTTGGGGTTTTATTAGGGCTAAGGGCTTAGGGTTTAGGACTTGGGGGTATCCCCCTATGACCAACCCAGACGCTTGTCAGCGCTGATGCTTTTGATTGCCTGGAGAGGGAGGGGGGGGGGCAGGACGTAAGCCCTAGACGCCAAAGAGCCAATTGCAAGTTTTGGGTTTTGCGTGTGTTTGTTGAGTTCAGCCTAGAACCCTAAACGTAGAAACCTAAACCTTAAACCATCAAGCTAGCTTTTGCTTCGGCATTTCCAGCACCTAGACTTCCATGAGGGGATTTGAGTGCTTTAGGGTTTAGGGTTTAGGTTGGGTTTAGAGGCTTGCGGGTGTGGGGGTGTGGGGGTGTGGGGGTGTGGGGGTTTAAGGGTTGGAAATCTGCTTTTCTCGAACGTCGCATGGAGACCCTTCAGCCAATAGACTCTTCTTTTGACCCCGGAAACACCGACACCCTATATCCCGACTCCAGACCGTGATCTTGTAGTTCAGGGCTAGTTGAAGTTCAGGGCTAGAGGGCTAAAGAAGCCTTAAGGGCTCAAACTCTCAAGGCCTCACTACAGACCCAGAAGGCCACAAACGCTGATTCCGAAAATGGCCGTGTGAGCCCCGAGAAAAAGAGATGTGGGATGGGTGCAGAAGCAAGACATTTCAAAACCGCGATACTCCAGTTTCAAGTCTATTCACACCCAATATCCGAAGCTCTGCACTCAAAATATGCGTGGCCCACGTATTCCCTAAACCCTTAGCAGCCTTAACCCTTACATAAATCCTGGTCCCCAAACCAGGTTGCCCCTAAAGATGCTGCGAAGGCTTGGCTGCCCACCAGACGGCTGAAATCCTGGCTTGTCGAAGTCTGAGCACAGATGGCGCCAAGCTGGTGGCGATTGGCAGAGTGTTGCGGGGGTTTTAAGGTTTCGGTTTGAGGGCGAAAGCCCAAACCCTAAACCCGAAACCCTAAACCCTGAAAGGTATTTTGGGATTCGGGCTTAGCGGTTGGGGCTTGCAGTTTGGAGCTTGTAGAAGAGACCTTTTTCATGGTTTAGGGTTTAGGGTTTAGGGTCTTGTTTGCGCATCCCTTTTCCGAAGCTGTGTTTTGCTGGCTGAGACACTAGGATATAGTTCGAACCTCATTGCACTCCGTCCGCGACACGTCATACGCGCTTCCATCCGCCCATGTCTTCACTAGAGCCCGTAAGGCGAGGAGACCCGACGTCTAGCCTAGTGGACCTATTGTAGCAGAGAGCC